AATGTTAAAAATTATTTTTAAAAAATAAAAAAAATTATTTTAATATTTTTTTTTTAAAAAAACAAACTCAAACCATAACAACTAAAACCACCTCTAAAATATTAATGTCTATCCCAATCATTTTCAATCAATCACCCGTGCAATCAGGTATCAATTTGTGAGAGAAGATATGTGATCTAAGTAGTATACTTATAGACAAAAGATTTTATTTGATTAAAAATCGACTTTAATTTAACAGGAACATTTCATTTTCATATCATATCATATATGATTGATCAAAATAATAAACACCTAACCCTTCTGCTTACAAAGAAAATAAACTATTCATAAATTATGCATTGGTAATTCAAAACGAACAACAACACCATTCTTTTTTTTTTAAAAAAGACCCACAAATTATCCTCGCCCAATTCAGGGCCAAGATTTTGCTCTTTGCTAGCCTGTATCTAGTCATCCAGGATATATGGTGATTATCACCAAATCACCTAACTCTGCTGTATCAATTAGGCAAATGTTCGTCAAATCACCTAAAAGCCTAAACCTGGGGACGACGGCAAATTGCCAGTTCTTGTCCAGCTCCTTGCTCAGTATTGCTCTCATGTGAAGGTTAATTCTATCAATCTAACCGAAAGTCAAAATAAAAGCAAGACCAAAAATCCTGCAATGATAATGCTTGAAAATTAGTAAATGCATACATGAACACAGAAGGAATCTATGCACACAATCTCAGAGCAGTGCTTCCCTAGCTGAAGAAGCCATCGAGCCATTTACAGCCCATAATAACACCATTCATCTATCCCCGACGAACAAAATAGTTGCCGGCGGCGATATATATTAGACGGATTTAACCGGAATAACCTTTCCCTTAGCCCTAGTGATCATCCACTCCTCGAAATCCCTTGCTTCATATGCAATCCTCAGAATTCCTTCGTTATCGAAACCATATTCTTCAGCTGATCTATACAGAAGCTCCAAGAACTCTGCCTCACCAAATGCTTTTGTATGAACAATGAATCTCCTGGTATCATTGTTAAACCCTACGCAAATAGGAACATAACCTTTAGGTGGCAATGGAGTGGTGGTACCTCCTAGTCTCTTGACCCCTCGAGCTCCGATTAATTTGCTCAGCTTCTTCGCTATCACTCCCACTCCCATTGCCAAATGTTGATTAGTTTCCAATTCTTGTAATTAGATATAAAGACACGCATTCTTATGGACTTAAGTATACTTGCCGAATGTTGATTAGTGATATTTTTCCCATCTAAGTGAAAGTGACAACGTTAATAATTCATTTATAAATGCTACATGCCGTGGCCACAAAGTTGACGCCGTGAATCAATTATTTTTGAACCTCCAACCACTTATTTATAGCAATATTTTATGATGAAACTTTGTACTCGTCCTCATCAAAGCTACTAGAGAATATTATCCCTCACCCTTTTTTGTTTCTTTCTAAAATAAAAATTCATTTTCAAATAAATAATAATAATAATGAAGTACCAAAAGGGCCAAAAAGCCCATAAATAAGATGCAACCTTGGAATACAGGATACTAAATCCTGCCCCAAAGCTCAGATCCACCACTAGAAGGAGATCTTGAAGAACTGTTTGGTATTATTTTTCTTTTTTATTCTTATGTGTTGTTTTTATTTTCAATTAAAAAGCCTATTTGGTTAGGTATTTTTTATTTTATTTTTTAAAAATGCATTTAGTCTAAATTGGATACTCAGAATTAGTGGGAATGTTAATGTTTATGTTATTCAAAGTTACAAGATGTGGTCTTTATCCTTTGTTTAGACTCGATTTAATCCTCAATCACGATGGCCTTGATCTGGGATACCTTGAACCTAGCCTTTGCTCAACTCCAAGCATCCCACACTTAACCTTGAGTGCATTGTTAGTATATATACCATGTAGATAAAGGTATTTAAAAAAATTGATCACTTGATTAAATTGTAGAAACCGAGAAAAAATTAACTAAAAAAATAAAACAAAAAAAAGATCAAACTGATTTAAAAATCATAAAACTAACTCGGTTTGGTTTGATTTTGATTTTAGAACCTGATACCGAATAATCAAACCGAACTCAATATAAGTTGTGAATCCATTTTAAACAGTTTTCCAGTTATACAGAGAAATAAATACACGTCCTTATCTTTCCATTCTCATCAATCTTCACGTATCAATATAGCTTCTTTGAGAGTCACCACAGCCGTTGTTAACCATAAATGGCAAGGCCAGTGATCAATGGATGCGACTCTCCAACTTCTCTGAAAGCCAAGGCAAAATCCTCCTTTTGTTGCTTTTCCAACATGGAGATGATCAACCAGCATGAGATGCTTCATCAAGATCATGACCAAGAAGGGAGCAACCGCATGAAGCTTCAGCCACGGGCACCAAGATCAGCCCATGATTTGGAATTTAAGTATAAGTATCGTTGTTTTATGGGAAAGAGAGGAAAGAACAGGAAACGACACTGTTCGGAGGAATTTAGGTATGATCCTGAAAGTTATTCTCTTAACTTTGAGGATGACGTTCACAAAGAAGATGAGTTGCCACTCAAGTCTAGATTGCCTGCCAGTCCGGAGAGATTGGTGGCGGCGCCGCCTCCGGTAAGGAGGACAGAGCTTCAGATAAGGAGCTGATATTTTAGGATTAAGAATGTTTGTTGGAAGTTTATTTGTTGTGATTCTAGTCTCCATTCTTGAATCCTTAATTTTTATTTTCTATGTACAGGGCTATAAATCGAAACAAAAATTGGAAAAAAAAAAGGAAGAAGAATTAAGATGTGATTTAATTGTTATATTATTTACTGGATGAATTAGATTAAATTAACTGCAGTTATACAAGGTGTTTAGTTTTTGTAATGTTGAAAGATTCCCATCGATTGCAATATTGCACTAGCTTGTTAATTAGTGCGTTTATAATTGGGATTAGCAATTTAAGATTCTTGACAAATTTAACTCAGGAGTATAAGAAATTTTACTCCAAGATTAGACATTGCCTTTTGAAGGAGCTTGACCTACCTGGGAAAAAGAAACCCAAATCTTGAATTTAGTCAAGAAAGTCTTGTGGAATACAGTCCAATCTTTTAGTCATTCCATGGTGAAAACAGTCTTGCAACATCTTATTTTATTGCATTAGCAGGTTAATGCAGACCACAGAGTTAGCATCGTTTCAACTTGGTTTTGTAAGAATTTTTGCTGAAAGACTTGACATCTGATCAATGATCTGATGTGTGAAGGAACATTACCACCTACATGAAAGCAGCGATTTGTGAAACTAGTCCAGAAGGGTTCTTGAATCTCTTTTCATTTAGGCAAAAAAGGAAACTCAATTCTTGAATCTCTTTT